CCTTGCGGAGCTTACTCAGTCCTACGTCCCAGACTTTAGTAGTTGTAATAAATTACAGCAAGGCATCAGAGAGCCTACCCTTTCCGCCCATCATTTTATGTTGAGCGTTTGTAGCTTTTCCCCTCTTCCTTATGGTCTTGGATTCCTATATGGCAAGTTATCTTTATTCTAATAGCTTTCAGGTGCGAAGACCTTTAAGCGGCTTCTGAGAGGTTGTGCCATCGCCACCACAGGTCTCACGACTCGCCTGCGAAGTTTCCGGATCCTGAATGGTTCTTCATTGAGAAGGTAACTTCTTCAGACTTATCGGCTCTTCACTTATGTTCCAACTTGCTAGCTATAATCTCTCAAACTCAGCCACTATATACTCCACATACCAGGATTTTTACATGATTTATCCCGTGCGAGGGGAAGTGAGACAATCTCGGCAAACCCAGACATCACGCGCGCCACCCATTTGAGTCACTAGTTTATGAACTCAGATCACCCATTCACTGCCTGGAGATCGCCCGTTTTAATATAAATTGTTTCAAATATGGCAACCACCCAGTTCTCATATGGTATTGGCCTATTTGCAATTCTAGTGCAAACTGACCCCGAGGTTCGGCCTGATTTACGAGCAGAGACGAGGTGATGCCAAATTAGTGCAGTTGTCTTAGTTCACTAGCGATGTAGAGCCAAACCTACGGACTAAAGACAGATCGTTCTATTCCCCTCCAATAGAGTTGTGTAGCCAAGGATGGTTTATATGTTTGCGCTTAGGATAATAGACTGCTTATCGAATTGATAACAAGAATAGATAAATCTAGGATTGTTAAATAGTTTTAATAGCAAGAACACCTTAAATGCTCCAAGGGAAATAAAAAAACGAATTAAATTGAAGCAACATCGCACAATAAGGATAGGGGAACCGTGTGCAGAACAATCTATTCAAAAGTAGTAGCGTCAGTATAGGATAGACAACAGTATTCGGAATAAATGCGGATGCTTTTAACTAACTTTGGAACATGGACATTTTAAAAATTGTTCGACCATACAGCAACACTACATGGTTAACAATCTTGCAGGACTACAAGAAGGTCAATAAAACTTTGATATTCAGACATGCTTTAAAATATGACCAGGAAACAAATATTTTTGCAAGCACTAATCCATACGACGCGCATCGGAAGAACCTAGTATGCCAAGTGGTAAATGTAGTAAAGTACAAAGGCAGAATAAAAACGAGGCAAAAATGTAACAAATCACGCACATTTATCAATAGTTTGATAACAAAAGAGTATGTCTGAGATCAAATGAAACTAGCGAAGGCCTAGCGCAAGTTAATTAAATCAGGATTCAAGATAAGCCCAATAGATGAAGACTTCGAATAGTGCAAACTGTTAAATAATATTCTCAATGTACCGCCAAACTGTAACTAGGAGTGAGCCACAATTTTAATTGAAAAGCATCCACTCCGTTAAGATAGTACCGAAAGAGCCTTTTATTTCTAGAGAAACCTAGTCTTTCGTACAAAGAGATGGCTGCTGCGTTCGTCACCTCAGTTTCTAAGACGACCTGAAATAAAAAATAGAATTTAGGTAACCCAATTCAAAAATCTGCATTAAATAAAAATGTTTCTACCTCGTCACAACCTTCTCTTATCATTAGCTTAATGGCAATAATTACAAGTCTAGAGCCTATTCCTAATCGGCGATACTTTTCTTCTACGGCAAGCATAGCAATATAACCCTTCCTACATTGCTTTGATAAGTCCATTCCACATACAATGGCAGCGATACAGCCCCCGGATTCATCAGTAGCCTAGGTTTGTAAATATTTAGCAAATTAACCAACAATAACGCAAAATTTCGGCCAGTTGTATATAAAAAATCTGTAAGTGTAGATAGAGTAAGGCTCAGAAAGTTCCCTCGTCATCAAATGCATAATTTTCTCAAGATCATCCTCAGAAGAAAATTGGTGAAATTTTATTTTGTTAACATTGTCTACGAATAAAACCGAGCCTATTAAGAAATTAAAGTATTAAAATGTACAATCGGTCAATGAGACTTTGCTGAAGTATAAGGATAACTCGCTATCAGTATTAAGAATGGGGAGCATAGAGCATATGGGGCCCAAAAAGGGATCCCATCAAACTGCGAGAAACTTGCAAAAATTACTTAAACAAAGTTAGAGTCTCAAACCTTTTACTTCAAAAAAAAATTATGTAAAAAAATAATCTATCTTACTACATTTTTAAATTTAATGTATTGTAATTATTTATTTGTAGATAGTTTATAAATTACTAGTTTTATAATATAAACTTACTGTTGAGTTTTACCATCCGAGGGGAATTTTCTTTCGATTTAAGTAAATCAATTAGGAAATCAACTGTATATTCTTAGCGCATTGTATTTTTACCAGAACTTAACTTGTACTTAGGAAAAATTATGAGCTTCCACAACCTCAGTTGTTCGTCTGATTATAGCTATCTCAAGAGGCGTTTATCCTGTAAACAACGAAAGCATATTCTAGAGCATGAAAAAGAAATATTTAATTATTATAATACGCATAGAAACAAGACATTCTGTTACTCCTCAGAAGCATTGTCGGTGTGGCTATGACAAGGAAATGCGCCTTGCCGTTGACTTGTCACTGTCATAAGAGGGATTTTATTTCTTCATGTTTTCTAAAATGCAAGATATGAACCAATGCAATTGCATTATTTTTTGTGCTAGTTTAGTCTTTTTATTGCAACTTAGTCTCTTAATGGGACCAGAAAATGGCTTTCTTTTTGCTTTCTGCCATTTAGTTGTTTGTGCCTCAAACAATCAAAAGGTTGTATCTCAGAAGTGGCAGCCAGACTCAACTATATTAGACCGAAAAGAAAAGCGCAACTATGCTTTTAAATATATGGTAGAAAAATTAAACACTCTTTTTGCATAATCTGTCGATCTATAATAAAAAAAGTAATTTAATTAAAATCGCTTTTGATAATAGCGTAAGTTGGTTTGTCACATTTAATTATCCATTTTTCAAGGAGTCATCACAGCTACAATAATTTTGTTTT